ATAAACAACGGCGAGCCTGACGCGATATTCATGTCAGACTTCGGTCGTTGAAAAGATGAACTTTGAGGATCTGAATGAAACGCATCGATCATGTGATCTCCATTACCTTGATCCAAGAGCATCATGGTAATCTTCTTCTGAAATGGCCAGGTTTGAAGAGAATCGTAGTCGCCTTTTAATAGCCACAAAAAAATAGTGATGATAAATTAGAACATTATAGTGATATACTGATATACAACTTCGCGGACCCTTTGCATAAACTTAGCATACATAGAACTAAAACATCCAGTCACGATGCAGTGATCAAAATGTTCCATTGTCTTTTCATTGTTTTGTAAATTAAACTGTGCTCCACGCCATCCAGACACCCATTCTTTGACATAATGTAGCATTGATGCAATGGGCCTGAAGGTATAGTTTTAGTTCCACTATAATGCTCAGGATACAAAAACATATTACATAAGATATATGGTTGAAGTGAAAAATAGCCATCAGAAGCGATATTCACTACTCGATTATTTCCACTGTCAAAGATCCGGGCTTACGGATCGAAAGTTTTTCCACATAAATAATCCACAAACAAAATGTATCCACCAGGGACCGGTTGTATCAAGCCCGTCAAAATTAAATAACACTCTTATATTTTTCGTGAATCAGTCAACTTAAATATTCTGCACTGAATATATAGTTGTAAACATTATCGTTCTATTAAGGTTCAAAACTTTTAGTTTGGTTGTTTAATGAATCTATAGACTTGCTTTCTATTTTGAGCTTAACCACCGTTTAAGCTAAACGGGCTTGATACAACCGGCCCCAGAAATTTAAAGAAAAACAACAAATCATTCAACTCACCTCTCATCACAACAAAAAACAACGACAAATGCGATCCTTTTCCAAAACCATCTCCATTCATGTAAATCTTAGCACACATCTTGCAACCATACTGAGCGCTGTAGAAAGGTGGACTGTACAAGGCCGTCTTCACTCCATTGATGGCATCTTGCCGTTTTCTCTGGTAACTTTCAATCTTCCACAGTAAAGTGCCATTGTAACTATGGACAACTTGTTGTGCACGCGGACCTCTTTGGGATTCCAAATCGGTAATCTTAACTGTATTCAGAGCAAGAGACTCATCCATTTGATCCATCCTACTTCGCAAACGATCAATAATAGCGACCTTATCTCTCAACTCTCTTTCCAAACTCATATTCCGTTCACGTAAATTGCCACATTCAGTAGTGAGGTCTCGAACTTTACTCTTGATCTCCTGCACTTCATTCCTGATCCTTGTATCTCCCCCACCACTTGTCTCCAAACATTCAACCCGTCTTTCCAAACCAGTCAACTTTCCGACAACCATGACAAATTTTTCGGCCAAGCCAGAACGAACTTCGGTGATGTCGTCGCGAGTTCTCTGCATGATGTCAGTAAATTCTGGACGTGGAATATAGTTGCCCAGGTGGATAACGAAGGGGAGAATATACTGTGTTCCCAAGCCAGTCAACGTTCCGACAACCATGGAAAACTTCTCGACTAAGCCTGTGCAAACCTCGTTGAGGATGTGATTGCACTTTTGGGAAAGGAAGGTGAGAATTGTATCAAAGATGAATTGTAAATATTAAGAATTTATAAAAGACCATTGAGCAGATACTCGTATATTATATTATGTTTATCTATACTATCCATTCTTTAGTGCTCAGTGTTAGTAAGCGCGTGGAAATCTATATCGAACTTATACTGGATACTGTAGCTCTATCAGTTATAATCAGTGACGACCACTTCGCAAAATAGGGAGCTTTAGCAGCGACTACGAGTACGAGATTCGTCAAGCGAAACGCGTGAATGCTGTATGCTTACGTCATTCTGTTTATACTAAAGCCCGTTCTCCACTAGGCGAATTTATTCGCGCGAACAGATAAAAAGTAGGAAGCGATCCTACTTTTTCGCCGCGAATTTTTTCGCCGACCAATCACGTTGCCGGATTTCGGTTTTCGCTTCGCGTCGCGCGAACAAATTCGCGTAGTGGAGAACGGGCTTAACGCGAAAAAGTCGTAGCCGTCCCATCTGAGTACGAAATTGTGGAGAAATCTCGTAGTCCTATACTTTTCAAAAAAAACAAAGAAAGTTGGCTTTTTTTTTGTTTTTCAAAAATAATTTGTTGTGTTTATCCGGCGCAAATAATCTATTAGTATTAAATATCTGGCTTGGTTTTAATGTTACGACTTATTTGCACATTTTGTAGGGGATTTTGGCCTGCAGGAGATTTAGTTTATATGAACTTTTTCTTTCCTTGTTTGTCTACTACCATAAAAGCAACATTTGAACGGAAAGGAGAACGACTACGGTGAGTTCCTCGCACGCGATCAAATCTCGTACTCGTATAGTCGTACTCGTTGCTAAAGCTCCCTAATATTGGAGGAGGGGGGGGGGCGAATTTGGGTTTAGCATCTAAAATCTGGGTGCCACGCGACAAGCCTGAGCGAGGGTTTTCTCCGCAGCGGTTTTCGGGGGAAGCGGATGTGAAGATCTTGAGTATCATGAGGTTGTTTCCCTCTCAGGTTGTTTCCCACATTGTCAATACAATGCTTTTTATTTTAGTGAAATAGCTTTTATAGGTTTTACGTTACATGAAATCAAACAGGGTAGTTTTTTGGGGGACACCCGATATATATAAAGGTTCAATAAGGCGAAGAGACATTCTATATGGAAGGAGAGAAACAGAATGCGCATACCTCCGAATGCAGCAAAAAATATTACCTGCCCATGGTTGTGCCTTCCAGTTTCATGATCTACTAGAACCTCGTCGCAATCGCGTCTCTTGTGTTTTTCAATATCTTTTCTCAAGACATTTTTCTTGCAGTATTTACAAGTCATGGGTGCACCTTCATAGCTCGTGTCAACATGTTCCTAGAAGTGAGTAAAACTGAGTATATCGTACTGGTTCAAGGATATTACAAGGTTTGAGGTTAATTACATAATACGACGTGATTTGCAGTATTGTTCAAACTGTTCTCAAAAGTTACTTTATTTTTACTTACCTTCATCGAGGCAAAGGTGACATCTTTGCCACAAAAATCACACTTCACATTCCGATATTCACATTCGCTTCTCAAGTGTTCGCCCTGGTGAGAGCGTTGGAATTTCATCTTGCATTGTGTATGGATACAGTTTATCAAAGCATGTTCACAGACGGCAAAATGTCTCTAAATAACAAAGAAATGGTTCCATTATAAGTGGGACTAATGGACTGTCTTAGTTTCATTTGCTGCTGCTGTGTGAATGAGAGTCAACAATTTTCTCTCGAAGGGTTTTCTCGTCTTTCTCCCTCTCTCCTTCTACCACCCCAACTCACCTCGAGTGCTTCATAAGTGCCATGCCAAGGACAGCCTTGGTTGGTACAATGCAAACATAATCCATTCAGCTCACGTTTAGTGAAAACATCGGGAAACACCTGAAAGAGATTAATATAAAACCTTTTAAGCCCAAGATTCGAGTGATTGTTTACATATATATAGTACGTTTAGTACTTCTAAATAACAAAAAAATGGTTCCATTATAATTAAGTTGGACTGTCTTAGTTTCATTTGTTGCTGTTGTGTGAGAGTCAACAACTTTCTTTCGAAGGGTTTTCTCGTCTTTCTCCCTCTCTCCTTCTACCACCCCAACTCACCTCCAGCACTTCACTTCATACTTCTACTACTACCACTACCACTGGCAACTGCTATAGCCAAAAACGCTCAGGTTGTTGCAATATAGATGAAAACAGGATTGAACAATGTTTTGCTGCCCACATTGTTCAGTTGTCAACAATATTGAACAATGTCGTTACCATCCAATTCAGGCTCAACAATATTGTTCAATATTGTTGACAACTGTGAACAACGTGGGCATGCAGTACATTGTTCAATCCTGTTAAACACCAGGCTCATAATATGTATAATCCGTATAATATATCCCCAAGGTTGGCCAAAAAATACAAATTCAAAATTGTACACAAAAAGCAAATGACAAAAAAAAAACTCGTACATAAACATCGAAGTTCATTTAATTAATTGCTATACACTCATAGAAATAATAGATAATATTTCTAATTTTCTACACGGCTAAAAACGCACAGGTTGTCCCAAGTTGATATAGACAGGCGTGAACAATGTTGTGCGGCCAACTATGAACAAGTTGTCAACCATGTTGTTCCAAGTTGTTGTTACAGTTGAACAATGCTGTAACAACATGTTGACAATACTGTTCATAGTGGGCCGCACAACCTTGTTCACTCCTGATATTTTCTGTGTTGGTGCGACGTACTCAGGTGAATAAGATGCTTGTGATGTTACTCTGAGTGTATATCCACACCGGGCAGGCTTGAAAAATATGCCTGACCACGGTGGGAATCAAACCTACGACCTTTGGAATACTAGCCCAATGCTCTACCAACTGAGCTACGCGGTCTGGTCGGTTCGAGTACAGCCATTTTCGTCCAAGCACAAACCGCAAACATTTTCGCGCGTTTGTTTACGTTTGAAACGTGGCGTTTACCGTTGGAAACGGACATGTTTCACTGCTCATGCGACGTGTTATAGTGAAAAGCCTAATTCAGTTATTTTTCATGTTTTGATGTGCTTTCGTGTACTTTTCAGTATTTCCAAGCTCACGATATTGTAAGAGCGACCAAACTTGTTTATATTCATACTTTTTGTGACTAAAATGTATTATCATGGGCTTGGACATATTGAAACGTGCACGGAGGCACATCAAAACATGACAGTTGCGCCAAAAATAGCTTAAGGCTTTTCAATGTGACACGTCACATGAGCGGTGAAACATTTCAGTTTCCAACGGTAAACGCCCCGTTTCAAACGTAAACAAACGCGCGAAAATGTTTGCGGTTTGTGCTTGGACGAAAATGGCTGTATGTGATATTTCGGAACAGAATCTAGTTCCTTCGATATCAATGTAACCTAGTAATAATGATATTTTCTGTGTTGGTGCAATGTACTCAGGTGAATAAGATGCTTGTGATGTTACTCTGAGTGTATATCCACACCGGGCAGGCTTGAAAAATATGCCTGACCACGGTGGGAATCGAACCTATGACCTTTGGAATGCTAGCCCAATGCTCTGCCAACTGAGCTACGTGGTCTGGTCGGTTCGAGTATGTGATATTTCGGAACAGAATCTAGTTCCTTCGATATCAATGTAATCTAGTATAATGATATTTGCTGTGTTGGTGCAATGTACTCAGGTGAATACGATGCTTGTGATGTTACTCTGAGTGTATATCCACACCGGGCAGGCTTGAAAAATATGCCTGGCCACGGTGGAAATCGAACCTACGACCTTTGGAATACTAGCCTTGTTCACTCCTGTTGATAACAACCTGTAACAAGTTGTTGATTTTCTCTCTATTAACTATGATTTTCTCAATTTTTACGCGTGTACACGGCAAAAACGCCGAGCCCGCTGCTCAACAGGACTGAACAATGTTTTGCTGCCCACATTGTTCATACTTGTCAACAATATTGAACAATGTTGTTGAGCCTGAATCGGGTGTAACAATATTGTTCAATATTGTTGACAGCTATATGAACAATGTGGGCAGCAAAACATTGTTCAATCCTGTTTTCATCAGTATTGCATCAACCTGAGCGTTTTTGCGCTACACACTATAAAGAAATTTGTTATGAAAGACATTTAATATAACACGAGTCCCAAACACGGATCACTTTTGTGTCAGAAAGAAAAGAGAGATTAGCAATGATCAGTTTTTTTTATATATAAACTTTATTAATATAATTAAAAATATTATTAAAAACCTCTTGTGTGGTCCTGGATTTAATTTAAAAACACAAAATTATTTATTAATATATTTTCCTCAAAAGCCAAGGCTTGTCAAAAAGGCTCGCATTTAATTTATTTACAAATATGTTTTTATATAAAAAAAGAATGTTTACAAAAATACAAACACAAAAAGATACAACCAATAACAAAGAGGAAGACGGACACAATTGAGTCATAATGGCTAGTAACACTAAATGTGTTTAGTACTTCTTAATTATTGGTCATACCTCAACAACGCGGTGAAATAATAGAACAAAGGACAAATTACGTACCATGAAGTGTTAAATCACCAGGTCATAATTTGAATTGTTACAACCATTTTCAATTTTTTTTTCACTGTAACAATAGATTTATTAATATGTAACATTTCAAGCATGCGTTATACATTATTATTATTTTAAAAAATATATTTATTAATTGTTTTATTAATGTCAGTACGGAAGTCCTCAATCAAGTTATTCACGAGGCCGAGGGATCCGTGCCTCGGAAGTTGCCAGGGAGATGTTGGAATCGCCAAATATGGGCAGATGTATCGAGAATTTTCATTTTCAAATGCTAATAAAAGAATCCCCACCCTCCCTCCTCATTACATTGTCATTTTGCTTTCTAATATAAATGTTTTTGTTTAGAGATTAATACAAGAATGAATACATGTACTGATGTACTGGATATTGGCTGGATAATTTTGTCAGAACAACCCACTTGCAAGACAATCTTATCTAAATTCATTAGTATGGAAAATACAGCTTAACAGCTACAATAATCATATACAGTATTATATGGATGGATCAGATCAATGGCACACAATGTACAGAACTGAACTTGTGATACCTTCTACTTAACCAGATATTCTCCCACAACACAAATTGTTTTTGTGTGGATATGCTGAGTTAAACCACGGGTTAAACCGAACAGTGTGGTATATCATTATAAACTGTGCACAGGATTGGAATTGAATTATATACTTCATTCATGACCTTCAAAACATCTACTATTCAGTGGTCTTCAATATATGATTGACTCTTTTCCTCGATTAGTTTGTGTATGTTACTCAACAGTTAACATTAGCAAGTGTAAACAACAAGTGACAGAACTTTTGCTTCATATGATTACAATAAAGTTTTGAAAATTCGATGAGTATGGATTGACAAGTGACAGTTTACTAAATAGCCAGCTGTATAGACACTTCGAATATTGTTTGCATGAAATTTTTATTTCCTGACAGCATAATTATCCGTTACAAGCATAATCACATTATAAGATTACATAGTTTTTCTTGGCGGGGGCAGTTGCCCCTGCTGCCCTCTGTGCAGTGTACAGCCCTGCCCTGTTAGATTTGTATTATGTTTGAGTTGTATTATGTTGTATTTGCTATTATATTTATCATAATAAGTGATGAAAGTAGATATGGGTTTTTGTTTGATGGCCCAACCGTGGACATACAAAATAATTGGCGGCCCAACAAAACTGCCCCAAGATTTTCCATGGCCCATCCCAAATCACTCCGGCCTAGCAGTTACTTTATGACCGGTCCCTTAGGGCATAAGAGGGGAATGTCAGAGGGGAATATTAGGGGGAATATTAGAGGGGAATATTAGAAAAGGGGAATATTAAAGGAGAATGTTAGAGGGGAATATTAGAGGGGAATGTTAGAAGCAAATATTAGAGGGGATTATTAATCTATTTTTTTGCCTTTGAATTTGATCATTGTTTTCAGCCCCGTTGAAATAAAAAGCCGCCCCCAGTTTTTCACACACTTGACTGGCAGGGGATATTTAAAAGGAGTAATGTGAAAAAGAATTATAATTAAACAAAACACAGTTTTTAATCCAGCCCCCCCCCCCTCGGCAATCTGACATAAGTGTTGACAAAAATGTTGCTTGCTTAAGCTCACTGTTCTCAGTTCAACGAACTGGCATGCTCTGGGTACGAGATTGATTCCTTACTTCCTTAGCTCCCTCCCTTCCTTCCCACCCCCACTGTTTTAATCCTACAACCCACCAGCTCACCTCCAGCTGTGAAACAATCTCGTCTATCTCACGCTTGGTATAATTATGGGGATAAACCTGAAAGAGTTAAAGCATTTATGATAGAGAACCCCACAATGATAGAGAAATCCATCCCATCATCGGGGGGAAATATTTGAAAAGAAACTAGGAATGTATTATCATATTCAAAAATGCAGGTTGGTGCCTGATATATTTTTTCAACATGTTTCATTTAAATATGCCTATATACATCAAGGAGTACATTTTCTTTCTGTTTGGGTTCAATGGACCATTTGCATTATAGACTAAATTTTGATCTGGACAAAAATTTCATCACAGCTTGAAAGAGCATCACAAAATTAGTAATATTCCAAAGTTTCGATGCGAAATGTTGTAAAATGCAGATAATATAGCCTTGCCAAGTTTGCCGTTTTTCAGTCATTTTGTATTACGCACGGGAAATTGACAGCCCAGTCGGGTGTCGGGGCATCAATTTCCCGTTTGTAATACAAAATGACTGAAAATTGCAAATTTTGCAGGGCTATATTATCCGCATTTTATAACATTTCGCAACGAAACTTTCGAATATTACTAATTTTTGCTCTTTCAAGCTGTGATGAAATTTTTGTCTAGATCAAAATTTAGTCTATAATGCAAATGGTCCATTGCTGTCTCAGAATTTTCCATGAACATTTTAATACAGAATATTAAAAGCAATCACCTTTTCTTTACTCAACTCTTCACCATCTTCAGGACATTTTGGGTTCGGACTCCTGACAAAAAAAAACAAATACTCTTACTACAGCTTACAGTGAAAATATTATAACCTTCCTACTTCCGCTTTAGTAGTCTGTTGTCATTTACTGCATTTTCGTCTGTGTTAAATGTTAATGTGGTGAAATTGCTGCACAGGGGGTATTTTTTAAGAATTGGTCTATGGTGGTGCCAGTAATGGTCTACAAAAAGGGGGCATACTATACTGAGTGTCGTTTTGGCAAAAAGTTTGGTATAGTATGTAATAGTGGG